AGGGTGGCACTGTCAGAGACATTTGTGCCTTTAATTAGACTTTAGAGGAGCCCTGCATTTTTTTCAGCCACAATGTGATTGGATGCAGGTTTGAAAGAAGCTTTGGGAAGATTATGGTGGTCCTTTGGCCATGTAGAAGGTCAGGCATAGCCAAAGTAGGTCAAAGGTCACCCATATTGACACAAAACCTGAGAGGACTTGAAAATTTATTAGAGGTTTAAGTCTTATGCGATTCTTGAAGATGTGAGGCTGTACTTGTCTGTTTAGTGATTGGTGAGGAGGGCTGCAGTGACACAGTGTGTGTGTGTGTGTGTGTGAGTGAGAGAGGGGCCCTGTTGCTCAGAGTTATCTTGTAAAGCTAAAGACAGACTTGCCAGATTCCCACTTCCTCCGCTTCTCTGTCCCCTACTCCTCCGCGCATTTCGCTTTAGTGCAAGCTCCCAGCCCACACATCTTTGCCCCGCCCCTTCACTGCCTTAACCGCTGTGGCGGAATGTTCTCAGTGCCATTGGGGGTGGGGAGGGGGTGGGAGCTGGGAGCTGAAAGGCAGCACAGGAGCAACAAAGTGGTACACATTGGTATTGCTCAGAATTATCCTGCTGTGGCTAATTTATGTGTCCCTGAATCAGAAAGCAAGTAATTTGTAACATTCTAGCTGTGAAACTTTTGTATTTATTTGATAAATGGGTATGTATCTGAAAGAATTAAGCAACAAAATGCACAAATAAATATGTAATCTATGTATTTGTTGCTATGTACAAGTGTAGCACTATATTTTGAGGAGAAGGGTGGGGGTCTGCTTGGGTCGCTCCCAAACAATTCCAACCCTGCCCTCTCCAGTCCACTGCGTTGAAATAGGAATACTCTGCCCCCTAGTGCCAGACAAGGAATTGCATCTGTAGGTGCCCTCAGCATCAAGTGCCATTGACTTGCAACTTGATTAATCCCCACTTGTCAGGGAAAAGAGAAACAGGTAATCCCTCCTGGCCCTCTGAGAATATCAAACGGACACTGTGATTAAATCCTATCACTGAAAAATTAGTGTTTTGTGCTGTAGCCCAGAGTCGAAGCTTATCACGTCCTTTCCTCCTGTTTTATTTATGAAAGCTTTGTGTGAGTGGGAAGTGAGAAAGTCAAGCAGGGACATGCATTCTGGATATATTGCTACAACCGACAGCAGCACCTGAATGGCTGGTTGTATATCTGTATGATTTAGGGGGCTGGCAGTATTTACACAAAGATGTATGGATACTGTTGCATTGTGCTTTTTTTTGGCTACAGAAGCTTGTATTATTGAAGTTGCTCAGCACAATTCCTAGTAGTGTGGTCGTCACTGGTGGAATACAACAAACTCAGTTTAATTCAAAGTATTAATTTCTCGACTGAAAATGCTTTCTGGATAAATAATATACTTTATTGTGCCATGGAAGTGAACTGGTTTATTCTGTAAGATGGAACAGTAATTAGGTAAATTGGGTCCTCTGTCCTATGTTGTTTTTTTTTTGGTTATTGCGTAGAAATTCGTCTGAGCAGTGCTCGATTAAAATGTCATCACTAGATGGCGCTGTTGGTGATATGGGTAAATTACATTTCAGTTATAGTTGCAAAGCCTTTATTAATTTATTTAGAGAGGAATGTATTTAAACAATGTTATGTTTTTATTGTTATGTTTTCTTTGTCCAGTTTGAGGGATTTGTGGCTTCCAGTTGCTGTCTGTTTGTACTGGATAATTTTTGCGGTTCCTTGACCTGTTCCTGGATCAGATACACCCAGAACGGGATACTACACATGCTGGAACGCAACAAGCGTATCAAGGTCCGGCCTGAACGCTTCCAGAACTGCAAGGACCAGTTTGACATTGTCATCACCTGTGAGGAAAGGGTCTATGACCAAGTGTTGGAGGGTGAGGATGCTGCAAGATTGCTGAATCCTGCTTTTCACTTGTGCTGTTGAGTGATGCATGCATTTGAAAGATACTGGTTTTTTTTCTTATTTTTAAAAACCCTGGCTCATTAAGCTTGTGTTATTTCAGCCCTTTGTTGTAACCTTTAATGCAGTCCTTTGGAATTACTGCAAGCTGTGAACTTGTAATTGTTTTTACCGGGGGAGGAGACTCTTGTAAATCGTGCCCGATTCTGTATGGGCATGGCTGTTTCCATTACTTCTCTTGCCTGCTTGCATCCTGTGTTCAAGTGTGACTCCTGCCAAGCGCCGGCGGTATTTACGCACCATAGGAGTGTCGTACAGGCCAGCCAGCTCCAGCTGGCCGAGTGGAAACGCTCCCACTGATTGCAGTGACACCGGGCCCTGATGCATCTTATAGGAAGCTCGAACACTGTGCCCAGTTGAACCCTCCCCCGCCCGACTCTGGGCCAATTGCATGGCACGATGCTGCCAGTTCCATCCCACTGCTGTAAGATCTGCTCACGGTCACTGAGCAACACTTCAGATTACGACCAAGAGAGGATGTTATGCAATCAGTTATCTGGTGGCAGACAAGCCCCTGTGCATTGCTGGTATAGACCCACCAGACCGTCGCCATCGTGATGAAGATGTAGCAGGAAGGAGGGCATCACCTCAGCCAGTATGATTCATCTCCTTGTCTCCGTTTCAGACTTGAACTCACGAGAGCAGGAGACCTTCCAACCAGTGCATGTCATCAACGTGGACATCCAGGACAACCATGAGGAAGCCACGCTGGGCGCCTTCCTCATCTGCGAGCTATGCCAGTGTGTGAGTGGCACTACGCTTCTCCTGTCGCTACGGCAGCGTAAACACGGCCTCAGTGCCGACAGAAGCCACTTTCTCATATCCTGTGACATGTCATGGTACAGCGTAATAAAGTCCTCTTTTGTCTTGTCGTCTCCCCCGCAGATCCAGCATACCGACGACATGGAGAACGAGATGGATGAGCTGCTGCAGGAGTTTGAAGAGAAGAGCAGTCGTCCATTTCTACATACCGTCTGTTTTTATTGACATCAGCTGTGCCTCCGCACTGCTCGGAGCATTCGAGAGTGCGTGGTACTCTGTTGCCTTAAAGTGAAAGACCCCCCCCCCCTCACTCACCCCAGCACCCTTCCAAAGCCATGTTGTCTTCTCACAGTAATACACAAAGCAATGTAGTTTTATAAAGGTGGCGGGGTTGATTTTTCAGAATCTGTGCAATGGCGCCACCTAGCTGCACGGCCGGAGCACGATCTCTGTACCAATCCCCGCTTGGTTCCGTGCGTCCGGCCCGCCCCAGAACCCCTCTCACACCCGCCATCGGTCAGGGTTGAGCAGTCACGGAGGTGATTCTGTGCTGCCCTTCCCTATCTGGTTAGTCAGCAGGTCATCGCTCCCTAACCCTCAGCTGACCGGTCCTCTCATAAAATTAACCTTCCCTTGGAGGTGAAGGGAAGAAAAAGAACAAATTCACAAATCTTATGGAAGCTGTGCGCTTACCCCCGTTCTAATTTTGATTTCTCTAAATGTGATGGCTTAGCCTTTTGGATATGGGTTCACCTTGAGAAGTGAATAGACAGCGAAATATTTTTGTTTGCTTGACATAGATGTGTGCTGTGCCCGGAGGCGTTCGGTTAGCTGCGTAAATGCGGGCGCTCGTGGGAATAATGACGGGTATGCAGTCGAGCCTTCAGATCCTCTAATAAGTTTATTTGTCTTATTTATCTTAAGACAGCCATTTTTTTCTGATGCTCGATTTTTAAACAAAAATAATTATTATTCTTGCGGCAACAGCTCATTTATGAGCAACAGACAAAATCGCCCAAAGTCGTTAAGGCAGAATGAAAACGTGCTCGAGTAGATACCCTCGGAATGAAATGTCCTTTTATTTTTGTTATACTTATTTTAATTATTATTTACTGTTTTTTGACCCCTGCTCAGGTGGTTTGTTTTTCTTTATGTGAACTTAAAAGCATTATGAGGGAAAAATGCAAACGGTGAATCAAGTCCAGAGTGCCTGTTTTGTTTGTAAATATTATAAAAATGATATAAATAAAATCTCTTTAAAAATATTCTTGATGTTGTACATAGCTTTCATATTTGGTGCATGGATACGAATGTCAGAGATTCGGGTTTGCCAGCTTTTTGGAGTTCACCTAAACAATTGTCCGGAATTTGACTTTTTTGCGTGTCCACATCCCTCGTTATGACATCTGTATAGATATTTTTGTAGGAAAATCTTGTTGTTTTTTAATGAATAAACCACATGCAGGGCTGTCAGAACAATGGTAAGTTTTCATTTTCTTAGAGATAAAAAAAAAATTCGTACAGGTTATGACTGGTATAGTGCCTGGTCAAATAAAGATTAAAAATATTCCCAAAAAAGGAATTATTTGACTCCCTCAGTTTCAATCTTATATAATGCACCGCGTAGCCTACTTGGCGTTGAGTTGCAAACGGTGAGTGAGAATCTGAATTATACGCTGCATTAATATGATTTATTTGTTTAGCAGAAGCGTTACTCGAAGCTTAATTTTTGCTGCCATTTGCGGCAGTATAATAAATCGTAGCCTACGGTCCCAATTTAGGTTAAGTACCGTTAGTGATACATCTACGGTTCCTGTCATTGCTCATTAGAATTTTCGATGCCAACGCATCAAGTTTCTGGTGGAAATTATAGTCGAAACGAAATGTGTTTTAGGACAGCTACCTGGATGTATGTATGAACAATGCGATCACCAGAAATGAATTGTTTCAAACCAAAGTTGCAGTATTTCGTTTTTTACGATGCGTAAATTGCACTCGAAAAAAAGGTATTTTAACCCTGTTGCCAGAATATGACAAAACCGCACCTTACCGGGCTTTATATTTGAAACGCGGTTTATTAAAACCTGGTAGACGAACAAAAGCATTAGACATGCAGTTAATGCCTTTGGCCAAATTGAGCGCCCGAGCCCACGGACTCTGCCCCGGTCCAAATGCAGCCCAGCTCTGCTGACGCACGGTGTATTGACGCAAATAATAATACTAACAAACTCATTCTGTTTAACGACATTGATTTCGACATTGTTTTGCTTTGCATTAAAAAAACATGTCACCTATTAAGCTAATTTTCTTCATTAAGCATTTCACGGGTCTCCCTGGCGTTACAACGTCGATTCCATAGTCGCATTGGTTCCGTGTGCCCTCGAATTTATTTAAATATTGCAATCGGCATGTACGTGAATGGGCTGCCGTCTTAGGCTGTACATATGAAACCCAGCCCTACGGAATGGTGCAGAATACAAATCTGAACTGCAATGTCAGAGGGAGAGAGGGAGAGAGAGAGCGGAGGGGGCGAAAGGGAATCGGTTTACCGGGTCACGCTTATTTGGGGGGAAAGTGGTGGCGCATCACTTGTGGTTTTCCATTTATATATTTATTTATGTTTTTTTATTCCCCGCGAAACGTGTTGATCAACAGAAACAACATGCCAAGCGATGTGACCTTTGATAACTCGAGCGCATGGGCACCGTAACCCCACTGACGGGCGGCTGAAGATGCTGGCGATGGCGAGAATAGGAAGACAGGACGCGGCTTGCTGTCCCGCCTCACGGTGCTGATGCGACCGGCCGTCGCCCGATCTCCGTCGTTGGACCGCGGGGAAGGAGGATCCGGTTAGCTCGACCCAGCTATCATAAATGTCGTCCCCGTTAATAGGATACGCAGGAGTAAGAAATCAGAATTGGCAGCGGCGATAAATTCGTATGTAATTACACGCATGCGAATTGCACATTTGATCGGGCAGTCGATCAATTGATTAGGCGGTGCAATCTCGGCCGGCGAAGGCTGGGGTAATACCGGCACAGAGCTATGGCAATGCTGCTCCTCGTTCTCTCCTTTGCCCTTGCTGATTTTTTGAATGGTCTCGAAACGCAGCGGAAATAATTATCACATTGCTAAAACAGAGCCGAAGACCAGATTTTCCTCTCGGATCACACAGCCGCCGGCAGACATTCACTCAGCCCAGTCGGTTCGGTTAGACAGCGTGCGTCGTAGCTGCGTGTGCGATCCAGGGAAGGAAGGGGGGCAAAGAAGGCCAGCCCAGCCGTATGCCGCCGAGGAACAAAACCCGAGCTGACAGGTCTGGAGAAGCGAGGGTTATGATATAGCCAAGTGGGTCTCCATGAGCGCCTTTTCCCAGGGCGGATCGTTGCCGTGAGTCCGACCCTATCCGCTGTCTTTAACGCGGAGGGGGAAAGTGAGGAGATCCTGCTAGTCTCGAAGTTTTGATGCATATGATCACAACCACGATGATCTTTATGATTCTCGGGGCTTCGGTTGTAATGGTAAGATTTTCGCTCTGCGTTCTTCACACCTCCTCAACACCAGTGTCATATTATTACCGCTTATGCATTACTGAAATGCCCACGCCTGCGGTTCTTACATATAATTAATAAGGAACATTTTTTTCCTAAAATAACTTTTTTTTCTTTCTTAATCCTGGATCGTTTTTGTGATCAGGTTAGACGTGTCCATAGTCAGCTGCATTGCCAGGTCGCTGATGTTTCGGAATTCCGCTTGTTCTGTCCCACTTGACTTGCACGGTTCTTTTCAGGCGATAGCGTGTTTAATGGACATGAACGCGCTACTGGATCGCTTTCACAACTATATCTTACCGCATTTACGAGGGGAGGACCGCGTCTGTCATTGCAACTGTGGAAGGTAAAACAAACAAGCAAACAAGCGAAATAAATAATGACCGAAGAGTACATGATGTGAAATGCAGGACCTCTGCTTATTTGTATGTGTGCGTTTTGTCTGTGTTTACGGATCTGTGTGTGTGTGTAAAATCAACTGCTGTTTGTAACTGTTCATATGTTGCAGCCACGAATACCTGTACATCAGCTGTTTCATATTTAATGACGATTTCTGATGCTGAAGCTAAGCGTAATATACTGTTTGGCCTTCCAGGTTTAGCTGTTCCATCTCTGTTTCCATCTTTTTAACATGCATTTTACTGTGTTTCGTCGTGTTTAGGCCTTCAGCTGGGTGCTGCAGGAAATCGTGTGTTTAATGGTTGACAGGGTGCGAGTTAGTAAGCGATAGCCGGCGCTTTGGTGGACGGTGTTAGTCCACCAAAGCGATAAAATGAAAAAATGTTGAGGTCCTTGACCATGAGTAGAATACACCCCTACGTGCGAGGCACCTGTACCATGTCTGTGGTATGCATGTGAGAAAAATCAGCGCGCATAGAAATAAAATATGTATATAGACTGTGAGAATCTATTGGCTTGGAGAGAACCGAAGGCAGAAAGCGCTTTAAGCATGACATCATTTATGTCTAAGTATGTGGTGAAATACTGGAGATGAGGAGAGCGCCAATGAAAGCTACCCCGCTTTTTATTTACGGATGTTACAACATGTATTAACAAAATTGAAAGTAGTATGAGTAGCTGAGGTGGAAGCAGGCACTTGGCGCAGATTACTCGCGAATCTTTAGCTTTTTTTAAAGCGGGAATGTGATCAAAAAGTAAATATTCTTCAACTTGAAGGCAGCAACCAATTCGTCTTCCCTTTAAAAAGTTAGCGGTAGTTATTGCCTGAAATATGGTTTTCTTAAATATATTTGCAGTATTACAGTTCATATATAGCGACATTAAATATTTGTATTTATTGGACTGATACTAATTATCCTTCAAAGATTTCAGTATTCTTGAATGGATTTAAACATAGTGTGGTTTAACAGATTGTGATCTAAGGAATTTAAGGAATTAAACATTGCGGGAAAATAAGTATTAGAATTTGATATGTGGTCTGCAATAGTAAGGGAGTAACTTTGGGTTTGAACATTGGGGGGAGGTTGAGGTCTGCACCCATTTATGGGCGGTTTTAATTATTGGGGTGTTAACAGGCCCCTGTAATTTACGCCCATGTGCAGTAGGCAGGCCCAGTGTATCTCCTGCCTTGTGCCCTGTGGTTCACAGAATTGAGTCCAGCGCATGTCTGCATTAGATAGGTGGTTATGGAAGGTTTCTACTTACCTGTAGTCATGGGTTACACTGTCATATATGTAACCCATTTTAAATAAGTTTTTACTAACGTACATGCCCTTAATTTACAATGAGTTGCTTGAAAGTTAGTGTCGCTGTTCTTATTTGTGTGTTAAGTACATACATGCTTTGGGTCGCCATACTTTCCCACACAGTCTGGGCGCCATGGCAGGCTGCTCCCGCATTCCTCACTCCCACCCCCCACCCCCCGTTGGTCCCTGCCATATTTCTGTGCCCATATCTCTCATAGCTTACATGTGTATCAGGTCCTATGATATGCCTCGGTTTGTGGGTGTTGTGGTCTCACACCCCTAGGACTGTACTTTGCGAGTTTCCCACTAGAGACGGACTCCTCGGTAATTTTGTGTGCCCTGTGTTGGACCAGCATCCCATCCAGGGTCCACTCAGCCTTGTGCTCCCTTGGATTGGCTCCAAGTTTAGTGTAATCTGGTACTGGATGAAGAGAATAGGAACTGTACATTTTATTCATATAGATCGGTGTGTCCCAGTCCGGTCCTTGGGGATCCACAGCCGGTCCACGTTTCTGCTTCCTCCAGTCTTCCTGCCAGACAGTCCACATTTTTAGTCCCGGGGTCCCCAAGAACCAGATTGGAAAACACTGATATACAGATATGTGTTGGTTGGGTAGCTGTTACATTTCCACCAGTTATGGGGATGAGATGTTTTAGACTAATGAGGCCTGTGACATGGATCAGCTTGCAGATCTTTGCATTGTAGCCTGGATGCAAATATGGCTCCAGGTCTCTGTCTTGCAATGTCTCAGTTTTCTGTCAATTTCATCATCCCTCAACTGAAAAGAGAGGTCATTCAGAACTGCCGCTAGCTTATGAGCCTGTGACGGTACACCCATGTGCCCTGTGACTGACTGGTGCCCCCAATTGGTGAGACACAGCATTACCTCTGTATTAGGGTAGCCTTGACTGCGTATAAAAGAGAGGGATACGAATAGTGAAAGCTATCAGGTGAACAGTCAGCAAAAAAAATATTAATCAGCCAGACATCTGTTGGATGTCAGAAAACCTTGACATTCCTGGGAAGTTCTCAACTCCTCTGGGTCACTTGTCCCAGCTCATTTCCAGCAGACGCTGCTGGATTCATAACTGCACATCAGGCAGTCACTGGAGGAACCTGCATCCTGGTAGTTGCACCTCCTGACTTGTAGGAGGCAGTGTTTCTGAACGTTGGCAGGGAACAGGACGTAGGGGTGCGAGCCGAACCTGAAACGTACCAGTTGCTGTTTTTCTCCAATCATTCCTTTTCTCTCCCTCTCATATATCCGCCCCCCCCCCCCCTCTCTTAGCCATTATCTGCCGGATTGTGGGTGAGGCTCCATCCTCCACTTCCTTTCTTCTTGCAAGCCCCCCCCCCCACAACCCCCCCCCCCCCTCGTGGGGCAAAGAGCTCAGCTGTGCTAGAGAATACCCCCACCCCGTCAAGCATCACCGTCACCTTTCCCCCCCACCCCCTGGGCTCCAGATGTTGGATGTCAGGATGGCATTACCCATGCATGTCTACACTTCCCAAATCATCTGGCACAAAAAAAATGATCTCACAATGGTGCTGTAACCTAGCAACAAAATAATGGGGGTGGGGGGGGGGGTGAATGTTCGGTGTTTGCCGACTCCGAAATGAACTGATCTAAGTGGACACGGTCCAGTAGGCTGGCAGACTGCTTCTTCATGGCGTTTTCCTTTGCTCCAGCGCTTTCTGCTCATTGGCTGCTGCTGTCTGTGGTTGTCCCATTCCGATGTGCCCCCTGTCCTGTTATTGAGAGCTCACAGTATCACAGTCATCCATTGGAGGAACTTCTAACAAACAATGTATATGAATATGAAGTGGAAGCAGCATTTTTTTTTCAATGTTTAGTAACAAATTTCTCTTTTCTCTCTGCTTTTTTCTTCTAAATTTCCATATTCTCCTACTTTTATTCCTTCGAAACCCTGCCCACATCCTTTCCTCCTCTCCACATCTCCCTGTGCTCCTCCTTGCTGCTGCCCCAGGCACCACGTGCACTATGTGATCCCGTACGATGGTGACCAGTCTCTGGTGGACTCCTCGGAGAACTACTTTGTGAGCGACAGCGTGACCAAGCAGGAGATGGACCTCATGCTGGGGCTGCTGCTGGGCTTCTGCATCAGCTGGCTGCTGCTGTGGCTGGACGGGGCCCTGCACTGCGCCGTGAGGGCTTGGCGGACCAGCCGCCAGTACGGTGCGTGTCGGGGCTGGGGGGGCTAGGGGCGGGGCTGGGGGGTGAGACTGAAGGCGGGGCTGAGGGCTGGGCTGGGGGTGGGGAGCCGTTAAATGTCTATGGGTTTTGGGGCCGCTTGACTTGAAGAGGGTTTAGAAAGAATGGTGAAGGAATGCATTGCTATTAAAAAGCAGAAGCTGTGTTCAAACCTGAAAGTTCGTGGATCGCGGCCTGCTTGTGGAATATCAGAAATCCAAGTTAGCGGTGAGGTTTTTTTGTTTCATAGAAATTTAATCAAATTTCTGCCTGAGACCTGGGTTCTCCATCATCGCAGACACTGTCATGGCAGCTGAGGGCTGCCACCTTCTGCATGAGCTTCCCCGCATTCATTTATTTTTTAGGAGGTGCTTTTATTTTGAGAAAGTTGGGTCAGACAACCAGGGTTAATAACCTCCCTAAAGGGGCCAACAATGAAATCACTTTGCTGACCCTGGGATTTGAACCAGCAACCTTCGGAGCATAGGCACCGAGCCCGAACTCGCTGACACCACCCCCATGCATGCTGGGTCTGCATACGAGCAGATGGGGAGGCCCGTCTCGCAGTTTCAGCTGCTCTCTAACATGCCGGCTCTCGAGGGGCTGGAGCAGGAGAGTCACGGTAAAGGGAGAGAGGGAGAGAGAGTCTGCGGAGGGCAGGCGTGCTGTACGTGGGATTTGGTCAGCGGAGCGAGGGAGGGTACCAAAAAAGCAGAAGGTGCTGATTGAGCCGGGGGGGGGCGGTTCCATAGTGTACCCTCAGACAGCTGAAGAGAAGGGCCGTGAGGGGGGGGGGGGGGGGGG